TCATTGGCCCGTTCAATACTCTCCAGACAAGCGGCTTCTGATCCGAATCCTCCCAATGCGTGGATTTTACAAATCAAATCCACTTATAGTGCTTCCGTTCCCCTCCTCGGGGAACGAAGGGTTACTTTAGTAACCTCGAACGTTATTACTATTAGAACTATTATTATTGTTATTATTGTTGTTGTTGTTGTTTTTTTTGTTATTATTGTATTATTATTATTTACTTTAGCATGCATGCAATTATCATATATTCATAATACATATATTTATTTGACTTCATTATTATTATTTGTATTATTATTATATGGTATTTGTCAAAGTAAAATAATTATTATTATTGTTATTATTATTTTTTAATATTATATTTATAAATTGTATTTGTCAAAGTAGCCAAATTATTATTATGATTATGGTTATGGTTATTATTATTATTATTATAAGTATTAGTACTATTAGTATTATTATTATTATTATTAGTATTATTATTATTATTATTGTTGTTGTTGTTGTTGTTGTTGTTGTTGTTGTTGTTGTTGTTGTTGTTGTTGTTGTTATATTAACATCTGCTTTAGTACATGCCTTTATCACATATTCATAATACATATATTTATTTTATTTCATATATTTTATTTACTTAAAAGTATTTTTTATGTGTGCGAAACAGACCACCTTTATTGTTGTTTGCAGCATGCAATCTATAATTTTTAAACAGTAAATTTACTTTGATTATTGCTATTATTACTATTATATATTTATATATTTATATATATTTGAAGTCAGAATTATTAGCCCCCCTGAATTACTTGCCCCCTGTTTATTTTTTTTCCCCTCAATTTCTGTTTAACGGAGAGATTTTTTCAACACATTTATAAAAATAATAATTATAATAACTCATTTCTAATTACTGATTTCTTTTATCTTTATCATGATGACAGTAAATATTATTTGACTAGAAATTTTTCAAGACACTTCTATACAGCTTAAAGTGAAATTTAAAGGCTTAACTAGGTTAATTAGGTTAACTAGGCAGGGTAGGGTAATAAGGCAAGTTATCCTATAACGATGGTTTGTTCTGTAGACAATCAAAAAAAAAGTTAGTCTAAAGGGGCTAATAATTTTGTCCCTAAAATGTTATTGAAAAAATTAAAAAAATATTTTATTCTAGCCGAGAATTCTATATATTTATTCTAGTTCGCTGATTTGAGCCTCGGCTCGGATTCGCGTGAGTTTCCTTAGGCTGCTCCAGTTTCCCCCACAGTCCACAGACATGCGGTTCAGGTGATTGGGTAGGCTAAATTGTCCGTAGTGTATGAGTGTGTGTGTGTGAGAATGTGTGTGGATGTTTCACAGAGATGGGTTGCGGCTGGAAATTGTCCGATGTGTAAAAACGTGGTGGATAGGTTGGCGGTCCATTCCGCTGTGGCGACACCGGATTAATAAAGGGACTAAGCCGACAAGAAAATGAATGAATGAATGTTCATGTATGCATTATATCATCAAATTACAATTGCACCGATTGTGCAAGGTGTTTGTAATGCAGAGTGTTTGGTGAGGGACAGTAAAGTAGACGATGTTTTCTCCTCTGGCTGCCATTATCAGTCACACATTTTTTTTTTTTTTCTGAAAGTCTTGAAAACATCATCTTGGAGTTTTTCTTTTATTAATTCAGCAACTAGGATTGTAAAAAAAAAAAAAAAAAAAAAAAAAAAGCTATTTTTTGTACTCTCTATTTAACTGCGCTCTAAGTTTAAACAACCTTACGAGAAACCCGGAAATGTGCAAAAGTTCCATTTAGCAAATGCTCTAAATTTTGCAAATAGTTAAATTATTCTATTAATATTACACTATTCTTTAGTACTTCTAATACACACAGATGTTACAGTAACTGTCCTTACAGTCTGAAAGCTTTATGCAGCATTTCTTCTAAAAGATTTATACTCAAACCATGTTTTCTCAATATTAAATCAAGACCTTCAGCAACAGCGTTTCGGGAGAATCTTTGGACATGGAGAAACAGATTCTCTGCTCTTTGAGGGCTTTGTGTGAATTACACTGTTGTTGTTTGTGTGTGAGCTGATTGGTCCGTAGATCTGCTGAATATTATTGTCAGGTTGATGACAGGTTCAATTGCCAAGTCATAGACTGTGCCTGTTTCTCCGTCTGTCATGTGGTTCTTCTCCTCCTCATCTTTTCTTTTGTTCTTATTTGATATCTTTCTCCCATAACAGGAGTAATGCTTTGCTGTCTGTCTCCATTTTATGTCTGAGCGTTGCCCAGATATGGATGTTTTTGTTTTTCTTTCTTGTGTGGTTTCTGAAACGCGCCAATGATCAATTTCTCTATTCCCCAAATGACTGAACACACAAAAAAGTAAGCCCATAATAGCTCTATTTAGCGCAGAAAGAAAGTGTTCAGTGCAGCCAGCTCAATAACGATCCTGCTAGAGATTCGAATGGTCTTATTATGTAAAAACAGCACTGGAAAGTAAATGTTTGGGGCTGGGTAAATAACGTTTTGATTGTTACATTATATAACAGACTAAGTTAAAGAGAGGATTTTGGATTTCAGCTTGTTTGCTTATTTTGTGCCGCATTTATTTTATTTATTTATTTATTTTTTATTATCCCATCACTGGGAAACATCCATACATACTCATTCACACACTACGGACAATTTAGCTGTTTCCTTATTGTTCTGTTTTTAAATAAAATGATTACTTCAGCATTCAAACTGAAACAGAGATGCCCAAACTAGGGCCCGCAGGCCAAAGTTGACTCATGGTAAAGTTTGATTTGGCCCGCCATCAGATCTGACAAGAGAGGGACAATGATGGGGTTGGTGTGAGAATGTCAGTTTAACTTTAATGTAACCCTTTATTTGTTTGTTTGTTTTAATGCTAAAAGCTCTAAAATTAAATGTTTTAATTAAATGGTGTAAATTGATCAGATTTTGTTTAAATGTACATACTGCCACCTGACAATGCAGAGAATTTGGTGAACAAATCAGGTCAAAGGCAGATTCAGCTTGAATTGTGTATTCAGCATTAAACGCCACTGTGTTATAAATGTGATTGCTTATGTTTTTATTGCAATAATTTTTTACTGAATGTATTGTTGTAATTTATTAAAATATCAACTGCATTAGATAATACAATTTAAAGTAATGTTTTCCATTTATTTTAAAATATTCTATAATAAGTTAGAAAATTACCCATGCCAAATTTAATGTAATAGTTTGGTATATTTACGTTTGGCCCACAGCTCTCAATGATATTTGGTTTTTGGCCCTTCATACAAAAAAGTTTTTTCTGAAAACTAAACGTGATTGAGGGCGGTGGGCCGAATGTAATTTAAGGTATTTAAAAATAACTCTTTAAAAATACTTTAATCATATTAAAAGTTATATATTTTAAGAAAAAAATGTATAAATAACTTGTTACAATAAGAAAATAAACAAACAAAGTAATAACACAATGGTGTTCAATGCCAAGTTGTTTAAATAGCAAATCCAATTGCGCCACTTTGTGGACTCATAGGTGTTTATGTCTAGATAAGAGGCGTGTCTAGATAAGAGGCATTGTTGGTGTGTTGCTATTTTGAGGAACTAAAATAGACTGTGAAATAGACCAACTGAGAGCCGGCACAGCACAGTCCAGCACAGAGCGCGTTAGTTGTGTGCCTCACTTACACATTGCTTAATACACACAGGATGTACAGCAATATGCAAATATCTTTACAAATAAAAAAGAATTAAAGGAATTAAGTATTACTAAAGTTATTATTTACTACATTAATATTTATTGTTATTGTTATTACTAATTTTCTTATAATTATTATTAATACTAATTTTATTTATTATTCTACAACCACTGCTTTCATTTATTCTTCATCTCGGGGGGAGGGGGGGTGCTTTTTCAGTTTATTCATAATAATTTGCTTTTGTATAATGTTATTATTAGTAGTAGTAGTATTTATTATAAGCATAGTTATATTTGTTTCATTAAAAACAAGCTTAGATTTGTCTACCTGTCAGGTTTTGGACCATATGGGGCATGTGTATTTGGATATAACTCAGATATTTTTACAACACTTCATTATTATTGTTCATTCATTCCTTTGCTGGAAATTAGAACTGAATTTAGAAATAGTTTTGAAACTAATCTTTGCGCGTAATAAACAAAATAATTATGTAGGCTAACGGATGTCTGTGCGTACAACACATTTCCTTATCCACAAAAGAGAGTGAAAGTGAAAGTAAAGAATGAGGAGGCTAATTCTCTTATTCTCTCATTCTCTTATGGTCTCTTTAGCTGTTTTCTCGCTAGTGAGGCGTTCAGTTTTTACACTTACAAAGTCCACCATGTAAATAGCAAAAGCGACATGGCTTGACGCAACTGACTCAGAAAGGGAATGGGAGATGAGACTCTGATTGGTTTATTCTCAAAACACACATATAACTCATTAAGAGAACAAGCTCAACCCTGTTAGACCATGCACCTCTGCATACTTTTATTTTTTCGTTTTTAAAATAGCAAAAGTGTATTCGGACACATCCTTAATGCTTTTGCAACCTGCGCTTTGCACGTTGCAACTAGATTGTTAAAATAGAGCCCTACATGTCTGTCCCTGTGCTGTTTATCCGATGCAGCCGAGGCGGAGCTTGAGACACACTCTGACAGGCACGTGGGAACGGTGGGCGGGGAGAAGTAGCATTAAAGGCACAGGCAACAAAAACAGCTACAATGTGATCAAAGCAGAAAATTCTAATGCTCTGAAAGGTATAATAAATAATCTGATGGGTGTTTTGAGCTGAATCTTTACAGCCACACTCTGGAGACACAAAAATTCTTAAATCTTAAAAAAAAAGGGTCAAATAAGTGCACTTTAATGTTTATAGTTTTTCTTAGAATCAGTAAACGAAAAACTTTATCTAAGAAATCATTAGCATAAATCTAAATACTGCTCAGTCAGTGATTGATTCTCTCATTATTTTTCTTCTTTTCTTCAGCCATCTTGAAGATGGACTGCACAGTGGTGGATCTGGAGACGCTCCAGGCTCTGTATGAAAACGTAAGTGCATGACATGACAAGACATGACAGTCCACATAAGCATCCATGACGAATCCTGGTAAACCTTATGAAGTATGAATTCCATAAGCGATCATTTACATCATTAAACCCTTCAAGTTCTGGACGGGATTTACCCTGGAGCTCTGCCTCCCCTCCGTCCTCTCCAAAAGAGAGCCTCGGAAATGTGTGTTAAATACCAAAACAAACACGCAGGCCACAAACGCCGCTGGAATGAGTCAGGTTTACCATGGAGCCAGGCTGCGTGTCACTGTCTGAGGGAAACAGACAGACGCGCAGACATGAAACTGACGACAGACGGGAAGACAAATGGAGAGGATGAGGTTTCCCTCCTCAAACTAAGAGTTCAAAACCCAAGGGGATAAAAAGAAGGATTTGTAGCTTATGCAACTTATTGGCAAATGCAGTTACGTCAGTTTGACATGGCGACATAAATCAAACCTCTTTCTTGGAAGATCCGCGAATCAAAACCGATTGCTAAAATGACGATTTTCTTCACTTCTTTAAGTGCTGATGAGTTTGCACAACATTGATGACCGTTAGCACTGCATCAACAGTCATAAATCTTGCTGTCAACGCAAGAGGTCCATTTTCTGTATGTGAGCAAGTCTGCATGTCATCATGACGAGATAAAGACAGGCCGTCATATCCACAAATCAATTTCTCTCTTACACACGTCTGATTACTACTTTAACACTCTTCGTGCTGTAAGTTTGGCCAGTAATTTTGCTCAAATTATTATGTTTAATAGCCGATATTTATATGTCGAAAACATTACAAATTGTTTAGGATTTTTTTATTTATTTGGTCAAAAAATGCAATGAAAATATGAATAGTGGGATTTACTAATTCAGTAAAAAGTAAATAAAATAAATTACATTTTACTATTTTCACTTATTTCTTACAATTTTGATAATTTATTTATTTCTTATTCAAATCAGAATTTGAAGCATCATTACTCTTTCAGAAAGGTCCTTCAGTTATTTTGTTTTTCTTTAAGAAATACATGATTATTTAAGGACAAAATAAATTGATCAAAATTAACTACCGATTTTTGTAAAGTCTTTTATTCGTTTTACTTTGGTTTAGTCCCTGATTTATCAGGGTTTACAGCACCAAAGTGGAATGAACCACCAACTACTCTGGCTTTACGCAGCTTTTGTAAACTTACAAATAAATTGCATTATTTTAAACTTTTAAAATTTAGGACTTGAGACTTGCTTGACAAATATCAAAAAAGACTTGGTTTGACTGTCATGACTTGGAGTTGAGTGACTCAAAATAACTTGTTAAATACATAACCGTTTGTTACAGTGCATCCTGAAAGTATTCATAGCGTTTCACTTTTTCCACTTCACCTTATCACCAAGCTAATACCATCCCTACAGTGAAGCATAGTGGTGGCAGCATCATGTTGTGATGATGTTTTTCAGCAGCAGGAACTGGAAGACTAGTCAGGATAGAGGAAAAGATTAATTCAGCAATGCACATCCTGAATGAAAACCTGCTTCAGAGTGCTCTTGACCTCAGACTGGGGTGACGGTTTATGTTCCAGCAGGATAATGACCCAAAGCACACCTCCAAAATATCAATGGAGTGGATTCACAACAACTCGGTCACTGTCCTTGAGTGGCCAAGCCAGAGCCCAGACCTAAATCCTATTGAACATCTCTGGAGAGATCTGAAAATGGCTTTACACCGATGCTTCCCATCCAACCTGATAAAGCTTGAGAGGTACTGCAAAGAGGAATGGGCAAAAATTCTCGAAGACAGGTTTGCCAAGTTTGTGGCATCATATTCAGGAAGGATTGAGGCTGTAATTGCTGCCAAAAGTGCATCAACAAAGTATTGAGCAATGGCTGTGAATACTTATGTACATGTGATTTTTCAGGTTTTTTTTACTTTTAATAAATTTGAAACGATTTCAACAAATCTTTTTTCACATTGTCATTGTGGGGTATAGTGTGTAGAATTTTAAGGAAATAAATGAATTTAATACATTTTGGAATAAGGCTTTAACATTAAAAAAATGTGGAAAAAGTGAAGCGCTATAAATACTTTCTGGATGCATATATTATGCATTTAAAAAAAAAAAAGTTTTAAGTCCCGCATGTGCTGTATTATCAGATCATCGGTTCTCAGATCCATCCAAAAGATAAAAGCACTGCAACTGATACCTGACTCAAGCTGATGATTTTTTTAAGTAGATTAGTTCATTAGATTCATTAGAATGATTCATTTGCACCCCGCCAAAGATAATTAGATTCATGTTTAAAGATTACAAGCAAAATGACGCTAAGAAAAGATCAGCAATTCAATTGCCACTACTTCTAATTTCATTTAACACTTCAACACCACAGCAAAAATTATAAGTTACAAAGTTAGTTCTGCTGTTTTCAGCTTACTTCTTCGCTTATCAAAGTTTATACTTGTATATAAAAAAATTGCAAAAGTTCGAAAAATCTACAAAATATTGATTGACCTGAAAGTGACTTAGACCAAGCTACGACTTGACTTGAAGTAAGCAGTGACTTGACCTAACTTGACTTGCTTCTGACAAAATTTGACTTGAATTGCTTGAGACTTGAAGGTTATGACTCAAGACTTGCTCGTGGCTTTTAGATGTGTGCCTTACTCCCACCTCTGGTAAAAAGTGATTATTTACTTTGCTTAAAAGTGAGTAAACCACTTAAAAAAACGACAAGATAATTTTCAATTGTAACTTCAAACTGTTGACTAAACTTAGTTTTTATAATTGTATATTAATTATAATTATGCACAATGCTCATTCAATTTATAAATGTTACACAATAAGTTTATTCACTTTTTTAAGCAGTCAACTAAATGCTTTTTACAATGTGTTGATTTAAAGAATCCTAATAAATAAAACTTTTCAGGATTTCCACAAAAATTATGTACAGCAACACAAATAAATATAACATTGATTATAATACTATGATTAATATACCACATTTAATAATTAAGCACCAATGGTAATTGACCATTCCTTGATCATCAATTGGTAATAGATCTGCAAATTTGCAAATTTGAATGATTTCTGAAGAACCATTGAGTGTCATTCACCTGTGTGTGTCACATCACATCAGTGCAGAGTTAAAAGTAGTTCCAGCTGTGTGTGTAATGGAGCTGAAAAACTTCTGTGGAATCAACACAAACAATTTTGTAACTGTATTTATTTGTGTATGGGCTCTAATAATATGTCCTGTATTCATGCTGTTCGTTAGTGCCTTCAACCACATGCATCTGCCCAGGCACAACCACAACAATGTTCTTCCGCTAAACACATTTTTAAGTTTTATTTTTTACCACTAGATGGCTGTACGTAACGCTAATGAATTAACAATGTATGTGCCTGGAACTATGTGCATGTGTAGTACGTTTCTGTTGAAAACTATCTTTCCTTCCATCCCTCTGTTTTTCCTCCAACCCACCCACCCGTTCCGCTGTAGCTCGAGGCGCTGTTGTTGAGTTTAAATGTTGAGGTTGTTTCTCTTTAGTGTGCGAGACTCCACGCTGTCTCTGACTCCTTCAACCAAAACCACAGAACACCCCCTCATACACAGAGAGAGAGAAAGAGAGAGAGGGAGAGTATATCCCATCTTTTTTTTACTTGTTCTCTCTTTTCTCTTTTTTGGTGTTGTCTTACTCCAGGATCACACTTTGTTTGCTGGCTGCACACTCATTGTTATCCCTCATTAGAGTTTATATCACTGTTGGATGGTTATAAAATGTTTTATAACAAGCTTTTCAACAAGTTTTTTTGGCCAACATGAATCACACTTTCCCTTTATTCAGTGTTCTTTTCTTCTGTTCCTCTGTCAACATCACAGAGAGCTCAGAAAGAGGAGATGGACCAGATCGAGAAACATGTCAAGTCTTCCAAAGACAAAGAAAAACCAAAACCACTGGACAAGCCTGAACAGTATCTATCTATCTATCTATCTATCTATCTATCTATCTATCTATCTATCTATCTATCTATCTATCTATCTATCTATCTATCTATCTATCTATCTATCTATCTATCTATCTATCTATCTATCTATCTATCTATCTATCTATCTATCTATCTATATATCTATCTGTCTGTCTGTCTGTCTGTCTGTCTGTCTGTCTGTCTATCTATCGTCTGTCTGTCTGTCTGCCTGCCTGCCTGTCTGTCTGTCTGTCTGTCTGTCTGTCTGTCTGTCTGTCTGTCTGTCTGTCTGTCTATTTATCTATCTTTCATCTATCTGTCTATCGTCTGTCTATCGTCTGTCTGTCTGTCTGTCTGTCTGTCTATCTATCTATCTATATTTATCTATCTTTCATCTATCTGTCTATGATCTGTCTGTCTGTCTGTCTGTCTGTCTGTCTGCCAAATGCAGTGAAAATGTGAAATACATATTCAGTGTCTTATACTCAGATACCTCACTAAATGCAGTGATGTCTAACTTTGCTGTAGTTTTCAAATGGCTGTGCAAATAGTATAAAGTGCTGTCTTTAGCATTTTCAGGAAGTGTCACCAACATCTAACTTTTTTTGCATTAAAAAAATGTCCAGAGTAAACTGTCATAATGAAAACATGACAAAGCCATTTGAATATTCTGTTCATAAACTATGGTGTCAGGACTTTTCGTTTTGATGATACTGACACTTTGATTGACATGAATACTTGCTTTTGAGAAATGGACTATCCATTTTGAGCATGTGATGCACTTTTGCAGGTTATCATCTAGGTTTTGCAGTTTGTACTAATTGTTTTGATAAATGCATTAACTGTTGCGCAGAAATGCACTGGTGTTGTGAGAAATGCACCAAAGTGACTGAAAAAAACTGTAATTGTTGCAAATTTATTAAAAGTGAAAAGCTGAAAAATCACATGTACATAAGTATTCACAGCCTTTGCTCAATACTTTGTTGATGCACCTTTGGCAGCAATTACAGCCTCATGTCTTTTAAATATGATGCCACAAGCCTGGCATGCCTGTCTTTGGGAATTTTTGCCCATTCCTCTTTGCAGAACCTCTCAAGCTCTATCAGGTTGGATGGGAAGTGACAGTGTACAGCCATTTTCAGATCTCTCCAGAGATGTTCAATAGGATTTAGGTATGGGCTCTGGCTTGGCCACTCAAGGACATTCATTGAGTTATTGCAAAGCCACCCCATTGATATTTTGTCACTGTGCTTTGGGTTATTGTCCTGTTGGAAGATGAATCAGGTTTTCATTCAGGATGTCTCTGTACATTGCTGCATTTATCTTTCCTTCTATCCTGACTAGTCTTTTAGTTCCTGCTGCTGAAAAAATCCCCACAGCATGATGCTGCCACCACCATGCTTCACTGGATGGTATTGGCCTGGTGATGAGTGGTGCCTGGTTTTCTCCAAACGTAAAGCCTGGCATTCACTTCAAATAGTTAAATTTTAGTCTCATCAGACCAAAGAATTTAGTTTCTCATGGTCTGAGAGTCCTTCAGATGTCTTTTGACAAATTCCAGGCAGGGAGTGGCTTCTATCTGGCCACTCTACCATACAGGACTGATTGGTGAATTGCTGCACAGGTGGTTGTCTTTCTTTAAGGTTCTCTTCTCTTCACAGAAGAACGCTGGAGCTCAGACAGAGTGACCATTGGGTTTTTGATCACCTCCTTAATTGAGGCCCTTCTCCCCCTGAACACTCAGCTTAGATGGCCGGCCAGCTCTAGGAAGAGTTCTAGTAGTTCCAAACATCTTCCACTTACAGATGAAGGAGGCCACTGTGCTCATTGAAACTTTCAGCCAAAATCTTTCTGTAACCTTCCCCAGCTTTGTGCCTCGAGACAATTCTGTCTCGGAGGTCTAAAGACAATTCCTTTTTCTTCATGCTTGGTTTGTGCTTTGACATGCACTATCAACCCTGAGACCTTATATAGACAGGTGTATGCCTTTTCAAATCATGTCTAATCAGCTGAATTTACCACAGGTGAACTTAAATTAAGCTGCTGAAACATCTCAAGAATGATCAGTGGAAACAGAATTTACAAGAGCTCAATTTAGAGCTTCACTGCTAAGGCTGTGAATACTTATGTACATGTGATTTTTCAGGTTTTTTATTTTTAATAAATTTGCAACAATTTCTCTTTTTTTTCTAGTCTATTTGTTGTCTTATTCTCTGCTTCTCACTCATTTCACTCTCTCTGTTTGTGTGTGTCTCTCCATCAGGTTTCTGCTGCAGTTGTCAGAGGTTCCTCAGTTCTCAGAGCGGGTTTTTTGTATTCTCTTCCAGTCCACCTTCACAGAGTGTGTTACATCAGTTCAGCGCAAGCTAGAAACCCTTGGGAGAGTCTGTACGGTGAGAAGCACACCAGACAGATCACTTTACCGTTGTCATATTTCAAGTTCAAAGTTCATCTTGAAAGCAGTGTAGAAAACATCTCACTCCTGAGATCTCCATCTTCCTGTTTTACAGGCTCTACAATCAGGCCAAGCTGTCCTGCAGATCCTAGGTTTGGTTCTAGCTTTTGGGAACATCATGAATGGGGGCAACCGGAGCAGAGGACAGGCAGACGGATTTTCTCTTGACATCTTGCCCAAATTAAAAGATGTCAAGAGCAGTGTAAGTGAAAACCAGATCCATAACATTAGTTTAAAGTTACAGTTCATCAATGAATGAAAATTTTGTCATAACTCATCCACCCTCATGCTGTTCTCAACCTTCTGTCAGACACAAAACAATGTTTCTGTCTGTCTTGTCCATACGATTCAAGTCAGTGGAGTCTCAAACAACATTACACCTATTTTCTGAGCAACATTTATAATCATCCTAAGTAGATAATGTCAAACAATAGAAAGCATCAGTTGCTAGAACTCTGTCCAGGACCAGTGCAAGGGTGCACATACAGTAACACCTACTTTGAAAAAATTGACTTCCTGTCAGTTTTCAAATTGATTCTAGAAATTCTCATGCTACCTTATAAGGCTTTTAATACCTTACAACCCTGCATTTGCTTTACACTCATCTAATGTTGGTCTTTTAAATGTTAATTGTCCTACAAACTGCTTTAAAATGTGCATTTTTTGTTTTATGTTTGACTTAATCTCAACCAAAACATGAAGAGAGGGTTGGACAGCCAGTAGCGTTTTGCTTTATGTTGAGCTCATCAGATGTGAAGCGTTTTGAAGGGGGCGGAGCATGTCAGATAAAAATGTTAATCATCCACACATCATCCATATTTCTTTCATATTAAACTACCTACAATATTGGAGAAGCGGCAGTTGCAGGATAATCTGAAATTCACAAATCTTTCATGCAGAGAAATCTCCTCAGGTCTTTGAATAATTATGCATTCAGACCTTTTTATCCAAACACATCTTTATAGAGGTTGACGTTGTTGTTGCAGATGAAATATAACATGGAAAACACAATGTAATTGTCATACAAACATCTTTACCGAAGCCTCTCTACTTGACGGTTGGTCTCGCGCATCTACCATGTTTGTTGTTTATTTACACTTTTCACCCACGTTTGTAGCTCTGATCAAATTCACGTCCAACACGCAATGTATTGTGGGCAATATTAGCGGTTAGAGTATGGACGATTCTACACTTTGAATTTTTACCATAAGTAGTAAACCATCCGGGAACCTTTGGCGTACTCTTTTCAACAAACTATGATTTGGGACATACTAATTTTCAAATACTATTTAGGATAGATAGTATGCGAATTGGGAGGCAGCACATCTCTATGGGTGATTGGGCCTTCTCTTCATTGGCACCTAATTAGTGGAATTCTCTGCCCTTTGAAATTAGGAAATCAGAATCCCTGAGTTACTTTTTTATAGTAGTTTTATGTGATATTTTAATGTGATTTTTAATATCATTATGTTTTTTATTATCTTGGATTTGCTTTTTTTTTGTCTAGTCTGTGGCCTCCGCAGTGATATTTTAAGTATATTTAACCTGTATGCTTATATGCATGTAAAACGCTTTGAGATGCTATTTTTGCAGGCGCTATATAAAATAAAATAAAATGTATTATTATTATTATTATTATTATTATTATTATTATTACTATTATTATTATTATTATAAGAAGAAGAAGTAGAACAACAAAAACAACAACAACAACAACAATTTTTTATATTAAACCTGTTTGCCGCTCAGTAGGAGATGCACTACCCACTTGTTCCTGGAATGACATGAGGATGAGTAAACAAATGTCAGAACTTTAATTCTAGCTGAACAATGTTTAAATAAGCGTTTTGTTGGCTTTGCAGATTAGGGTTGGGTTGATAGACGATACCATCGTCCATCGCCGACAGCTGATTGTCATTACAATGCTGAGCTGGCATTGCAATCCTCTGCCCTGCCCCCGTCGCAAACCAAAAAATACACACTTAGGCCCTGTTTACAGTAACGTCTTAGTTTTAAAATGGCATTTTAGAATGAAAACGATCCACATCCACACTTGCTTTTCATCTAGCATTTCTGCATAGCCCTCCGTTCACACTATACTGCTGAAAACGCACATCACGTGACCACACACACACATACAGAGACATAGACATACACACTTTCATGCACTGGTCTGAGTTCCAGGCATTCAGCGGGTGATTTGAGCACTAAACCCCAGAGAGCAGTGCACAGTTTATCAAGGATGTACCGCTGGATTGCATCTCACTATAGTTGTTAAACGTGATATTTAATTAATCTTGTCTCTATCCAACAACTCTTCGGTCTTTTGAATCCATCAGGCAACTTGCTTCAATCATTCGCTTTCACACTGTACTTAGTATTTTTAGCTATAACCTCAGATACTGTTGGTTGGTTCCTGTTGGTTGTTCACCTTTTTTCCTACAAAGTTTGTTAACGCCATTATAGCAACACAGATTACTCTGCCTGTTCATGCCAGAGTCCTGCGGAGAAAGTGGTTGACAGGTAGTAATATGTGTGTAACTTAGCCTATCTTTATTTATGATTTAATTATGGGTAAAACAAAGACCATGCGGGTCAGGTAATTGAAACGGTTAGATTCAAATAAAAAATTTGTTATGAAATAATTATTTATTCATAAACAATTAATTCACCGCCACCTACGACGATGATGCCATCGTCCATCACGACGTTTCACATTGGACATGCCAAATTGGTCGACATCGCCCAACCCTATTGCAGATCCCCCAGCTAGACCAGCACATGGAAACTGCATGTGCAATTGTTTGGTCTCCATTAATTAGGTCATAAATAGACCATTCTAGTATCACTCTGAGCTGTCCATACAGCATTATGCCAAAGAAGTAGCCTATATTCACATCTTATGCGGTCTGTGAATGCACACATGTGAATAGGAAAAAAGCCAGCAGGTTTTTGAGCTAAATTAGTGTATACAATAGCAAAACATGAAAAATGATTATTCTCCTGTGTTTATTTCCATCTCTCATCTCCTCCTCCTCTCACTCCATCAGGATAATTCTCAGAGCCTCCTGTCCTACATAGTTGCTTACTATCTGCGACACTTTGATGAGGTAGGTTTAGCCAACTGTTTATTTCATTGGCTCGACTAACAGACCCCCAGGTCCCTTAAATAACCCATAATGGGAGACAAAAAATGTGGCTTTGTTTTTGGTTTCATCACTTTGATTTGCCTTGCTTTCCCTTCACCATATAGACAAATGGCTGCTGTGTATGAGCAGAGCCCTCTGATTGCTCGATGCCCTTTTTGGACGCAGATTAAAAGGCTGTATTATAAATACCGTCAACAGTGGGTCCAGATGTTGTGATTATGAGGCCGTGTCCAAATTGATAAAATATGATCCACAGGTTGTCGAAGTGCTTCTAGCTTTGGGCAAATAATAAGGAGAGAGCATGTGTTTGTGTGTGTTTGTGTGTGTATGCATGCGAGCAGCTCTCTGACAGACGGAACGATATTGAGATTGATTTGTTGTGTTTGATGTTTTTGATTGTTTCTGGAATTATAATGATCTTTGCACATTGATCCATTTGAACAGAATTCACATTTAAATCAAATCATCAATTGCCATAGATATGATCTCATAAACACAACATTCTTTGTTTTATTTCCTGTATGATTGCGGTTCAGACTTTCCACTGTTTGTGTGTCAGGATGCAGGTAAAGAAACGTGCACGTATCCACTTCCAGAACCTCAGGATCTATTTCAGGCATCGCAGATGAAGTTTGAAGATTTTCAACGTGACCTCCGCAAGCTACGGAAAGATCTAAATGGTGAGATGGAGCCCCCAGCTGGCTGCCACAATGATCAATATTGCAAATGTGGTTTGTTAAATGCCCCAGCATGTAAATAAATGAGAGAGAGGGTCATTTTCAGCACTTTTCCTAGCAGGCTTACCTGTTACTACAGGCCTCAAGCACTTAACTCTTGCTTTCTGCAGGTGAATAGTCTCTTTATGTATACAGTACTGTTACAGAAAAACACATTTATTTGTGTTATCAATGTTGCTGTGCCTAACATTTTGTGTAAACTGTTGTTTCAGAACTCTGGTGAATATAAAGTTTAAAACAAATGTAAGAACAGATTTTATTTATCTGTCACTGTTTAAAGATGCTGCATGTAATTTTTTCACTCTTCTAACGCATAAAAATACCATAATATGTTTGCAGATATAAAAAAAAAACATGCTAAGTGAACTATTGTTTATCTGAAAAACAATGGTGAAATGAGATATTCTGCTTTGAAAATGTGTGTTACGTGCAGGAACATCTGTCTTTGTTTTGCTCACATGGTGGAAAACCATGTATTTCATTCATTAAGTCAAAAAAGCTCTCAAGGTATGCATCCTCAACCGAAATGTGACCACAGGTGGACAGTAGCAGCCTCCAAAATGAGACGCAGATTCAGAGTTCCACATGAGATTATTAATTAGAAAAAAATATACATATTACAAACGTAAACATTAGGTGAGCAGGTTAAATTTTAACCTCATGTCTTAACAACACTCTATGTGACCAAATTTGCACTGATAACCAATTTGGCTGTTTGCACCAGATGAAACATGACAGAAATTTCAATAAAGCCATTCAGAAGCACATAATAGTACACACTTACTGCACTCCAAGGAAACTGTAAATTTGATCATCTAAATAATATATAATAAACCTCTTTAACATTAATAAATGAACATGCTGAATCATTGATATGTGTTGGCTTGCACTGGGTCACCGTTATAAAATTCAGTTTCAAACGGTTTATTTTATTTTTAAGATCGACTGCTGCTTTCAGTGTATGGCAATAAATGTCATGTAAAATGGCATTCAAACTCACATAATTAGCATTTACTTGAGGCAAGGCAAGGCAAACTTTATTTATAGAGCACAATTTTACACAACCGTAGTTAATCCAAAGAGCTTTACAATAAAATAAACTAGACAATAAAATTAAAAGGAAATATATATGTATGAAAGTAATACTAATATAGAAATAAAAAACATGCATGTGTCACTCAAAGGCAAGAGAGTAAAAATAAGTCTTTAAGTTAGATTAAAAAGCATCCAATGAAGAAGAAATCTTGATGTTTAGAGGGAGACTGTTCCAGAGCCTTGGGGCCGCAACACAGAAAGCTCTATCACCTTTTGATTTGCAGCGAGCCCGAGGGACAGAAATAGAAGCAAGAAATAGAATGCAAGAAATAGAAGTCGACGGACGGACGGACGGACGGACGGACGGACGGACGGACGGACGGACGGACGGACGGACGGACGGACAGATAGATAGATAGATAGATATAAGATATTTTTGAAGATTGAAGTTGTTGAGTCAAGAAAATAAATTGTTTACACAAAAATATTCATGACATGACAGACATGACAACATTGATAATACAAAAGTGTTTCTTAACAAATCAATATGTAATGACTTAAATAAATGTTTTGAAAAATGTAACAAAAACATGTTTTTGAAAAATTTAATAATATACTGTAATATTACATTACAATAAAAAAAATCTAAACATGCAAATTATTATTTAGTTGCAATCAAAATTATTAAACCAAATTTTTTATTAATTTTTTCAATATTTTGCAAGTGATGTTTAACAGAGGAAGGAAATTTTCACAGTGTGTATGATATCATATTTTCTTCTGGAGAAAGTCTTATTTGTTTTATTTCGGCTAGAATAAAAGCAGTTAAAAAAATTTAAAACCATTTTAAGGTCAAAATTATTAGCCCCTTTAGCCTTTATTTTATTCAATAGTCTACAGAACAAACCATCTTTATACAATAACTTACCTAATTTCACTAACTTGCTTAGTTAACCTAATTAACCTAGTTAAGCCTTTAAATGTCACTTTAAGCTGTATAGAAGTGTCTTAAAAATACCTAGTTAAATATTATTTACTGTCATCATGACAAAGATAAAGTCATTCAGTTATTATAAATGAGTTATTAAAAGTATCATGATTAGAAATGTGTAAAAAAAAATCTCTGTTAAGCAGAAATTGGGGAAAAAATAAACAGGGGGTAATAAATCAGGGTGTTAATAATTCTGATTGCAACTGTATATTGGTGAAATTTAAATTAATTTGATTGTTTAGAGTTTTATATATCTGTTAGAGATTCTTATTTCATCTTAAATCCTATAAAAATGTTGGTGTACGATTTTCTGAAGGTCAGCATCAGCTTTCATGTAAGGTTATTTTTTCAAGAAATGAGCAGGCAGGTACAGGGCTTAAACTGCCTCTTAAGCAGCGTCTGCTTTGCTCCCTGACCAGTAAAGCAATTTATCAGGCTCTTCAGGAGGTTAGTGAGATTGGTTCGGCTTTGTGCCACAAGTCAAAGGTTGCACGACCCAGCTTAAGTGCACGGCAGAGTGTGAATGAGGTGTAAGAATCCGATTACATGCTCAAAGCTGAGTTTAAATCCCTGCAAACATTTTCATTGCCAACACAAAACACACGCATACACACTCGCACAGATGTGGAAATACTCACATTCCACTGTCGGCATGTTTGGCTTGTTTAGCTCCTTGAAAAAACACTTGTGGATGTTGATGTGGTCAAATTAGAACACTGCCCTACATCAAAAACACATTTACCATCAATCATTTATCCAGAGTGAGATTGTCTGCCACACAAAAATAATAACCTCCAAGCCTTTTTAGTTGCACTCGAAGCAGTCAAACATATCAGATGGATTGGCTTATGGAAATTTCGATTAAAGGATGGTCCGTTTGATGCATTGCTATGCAGCCTATTAGCTTCTCCCATGCTGTTAGTCATATTTGTGCTTGCCTCAGCTCGAATCCCTAGTCGCCGATTTGCATTGTTAATCTTTCAAAAGCTAATTAGTTAGGCCCACTATACATGTGTTTGATAAATCGAAAATGTACTTTTCCAGAGCTTGTATGCTTAGCGAAATCGTTTTGGCATACACCTGCGGAACAGATCAAGCCTACGTTTGTTTAACGCAGGCAAATATTTCTCCTCTGGCAATGTTCGGCGCTTCTCTGAATCCTCCACAGTTCATGTCCCTAAAATCTCCCCATGGCCCAATAAGCATGGCTTCTTTCTGAAGCCAGTTTCATACAATAAATGGATCATCGCTACATTAACAGGCTAAGCTAAGTGCTAAAGCAGATGTGCGACACTGACAGCTGGAAGGGGCACAGAGTTATGCAGGTCCTCGCTTTCACAAAGCTCTTGATCCAGCTGGCAGGCACATTAGGTTGACTGTGTTTGCATTGCGCTGATTGGCATGTGAGGCTGTGATCCATCACCAGCTGTAGTGATGGAGTGTGACACACAGGTGTAGAGTCAACAGAAGAGAATGAAAGGTTCATGAAATGGGATTCATTAGCATCTGTGCAGGTCAGAGATAGCACATCCTTCTGAATACTGATATGTCTGTGAAATGCAGACGGGGAAGCTCTAACAGCACTCTTAAATATACAGGTTCCTATTTTCATTGATGTTCCCATAAACTTTGTTCTACAAACATTTCTATTACATGTCATTAGACTCTAAGGCCCAATCCAAATTCTATACCCCTACCCCTTCTCCTTGGCCCCTGAAACAGAGTGTGAAGGGTAAGGGTTTTTCGAAATGTACCCCTAAGAAATGGAACACCACTACAACACCTGCACATGTCATCATACGTTTTTGCAATTCTTGCTTCATATGAGATTGACGATGCTGACTGCTGTAGTTATGAATGTATTAAAACATAAGCTAGTATATTGTAAAAATTTGTAATAATTACAAAATCTCCTTACTTCTATGTGCAGTCATGCTGCTGTTGTAGCTGGTATATTCTAGGAAATTTTCTTACCCTTTGGTTTCAAGTGTCATCCTAAAATATCTCAGTTTCATGGGGTTCTAGCCCTTCCTTTTAGTCCTATGCCTAAAACCAAAGAGAATTTGGGCACCCCTTCATGTGAATGCACAAAACGAGGGGTAAGGGGTAGAATTGGGGTTGGGGCTATAACTCTAATAAGACTCTTTGGAACCTTTATTTTTAAGAGTGAAGCTTCTTTCATTTACAGAAAAATAATGTGAGCGTCAGATGATTCATATTTTAAAACTACTATGTGTTATGTAATGCATTTGACCATTTTATGTCAAAAAGAAGTGATCACACAAATAGTTTTTAATTCACATGTACGTGTTGCAAAAAACATCTATTCCATGTGTGTTTTACATGTAATTTTAACATTCATGGTGTTTCTGTAGGAGCTGCTAATAAATGTCTATGGTGGTAGTGGGAAGGCAAGAAATGGAAATCATTGTTTTTTTCTATACAAACTTACTGTAAGTGCATCATTTTACAATGCATAAAATAATATAGAGAGACAGGGACAGCTGAAAAAAAGGTATCAGTTTTTGGCTGAAAGAGAAACAGAGTTTGAAAATGAGACAATGTATTCATAAACTAAAAATATGGCTTTACTTGTAAATGTGATCTGTTAAGTGTCATACAGTGAGTAAACAGTCTTGCTGAAAAAGAAAGTTACCATTCTTTATTGTGGAAAAAGATTCTGTAGATGAATCCTAAAACGTCCACACTAAGAAAAAACATGTTTTATTTTCACAGAAAGGTTATTTGAGGAGTTAAAATTGGCCCTTCTATTGCATCACTGAAAACTTCACTTTTGGAACCATAAAGACAACAAGAACAGACTGATTGGGGCCAGTTTTACAGCGAGAACACACTTGAATTTGACTGATTGCACAGATTTACAGCTCTTGCATTAATCATACCAGAATAAAGATGACTTTTTTTTACTTTATCTTATAAATTTATGTTTATTGGAATTGATGGTTCCATAAACAACCTTTGGCATATGTGGAAACTTTCTGTTCCACAAAAAGTTACTTAAAATGGAAAGAGACTCTTAAGATTAATAAAACGTTCTGCAGTTAAATAAAAATATGTTTGTTTTATTAAACATAACATTTACAGTTTTTTAGTGACCCAAATAAACGATTCTCTATGAACGCATACTTCAAGAGTTCACACTTAGGGTGTTTTCACACCTGCCTTATTTAGTTTGGTTGAATTTCACTAGAGTTCATTTTCCCTCTTGGTGTGGTTCATTTGGGCAGGTGTGAAAGTAGCAATCGCACTCGAGTGAGTATCAAAAACGGACCAAAAAAGCATAACAAGACTATGTATCCTCGGTATGCTTTCAACTAAACTCTGGAGTGGTTCATTTGTGGTGAGAACATGATCTGAACTAGAACAGATTCAACTGCAAAAAAGTCTGCACCTTTTTGGACTAATCCAGCTGCCGTAGTCCGATGCAATGTGCATTATGTGGAGGAAAAATATTTCTTGACAGCACTTTACCAACAATTTTAAACAGAGAGAGAGGGAAAACATTACCTGATGGATCATTTGTAATATTTCCGGAAGATGACTATGTCGCAGTTTTGCTAAATTAATTCACGCTTCCTCCTGAAGTGACTTGCGATGCGCTTTCACCATTTGCAATGCATTAAACCATTGTTTTACAGCTGCAGCTGTGCTTCAGTATCAAAATGTTTGTCTAAAGGGATGTATACAAACTATATAGTATACTATGACCAGGGATATAATAAGCCAGCGCAGTAGACTCTCCATAGGCAAAAGCAACATTTTGTGTCTGCCGGTTTGTTTACTTACAGGAAGTCCATTGGCATTTCACCACACATTAATACTGACCAATCGAAAAGCAGTTAATGATATACGTTCAATAACATCTGGCCAATGAGTAATGTGGATTTTATCACATGACTGCATTTTGGTTCTTTTCAACTAGTTCGGACTGAAGCAATCAGTGTGGTGTGAAAAGGACCCAAAGACAACAGAAAATGCTACATTTGTATTGTATCATTTGTTGCCCTTGGTCCGAACCAAATGAACCGAACAACAGATGTGAAAGCACCTTTAGATATTGTTTGATAATATTAGCATGCTATCCCGGGAGAGAACCCTGAGCTCAGAGATAATTGAGCCCAGGGCTCCTGTCTGGTCAGTGAGTATGTAAGGGGTACGAGATTAGATATTTCTTGAGAGCTCCCCCTGGCAAAGGGGGAGATGGGGTGGAAGGGGGGATTCTTCAAAAAAGATAAGGGAGTAATACTAAACAGGCTATTTATAATAAATTTGGATTAATCCGGTTATTTTACTAATGATTGGGAGACCAACCGCGATTAATCATATCACATGCTCCATGAAATTACATTGTGAAACTTCACTTTGAGAGCCATTAATTTAAAGAATGCCACAGAGGTCATAATAATCTTTTAAAAATTATTATTATTAGATAGGCTAGTTTTCCCAGAGAAGGGTTGCGGCTGGAAGGGCATCCGCTGCGTAAAACATGTAAGATGAGTTGACGGTTCATTCCGCTGTGGCGACCCCAGATTAATAAAGGGACTAAGCCGAAAAGAAAATTGATGAAAATTAATGAATGATTGAGATTGGCTAGCACCACCGCTTCTTTACAATGACCTGAAGTTATTTCTAAAGATATTTCTAAAAATGCTTTATGTTGAGTTTGTTAAATACAAAACGCATAAATAGAAATTATGTTGTATTTTGTATGGTTGAAATAAACAGCTCTTCAGCTCCTTTAAATATTTTTCCTTTTTCATCTGTGTTCCTGTTCTGTTCTGTTTTACAGCCTGTTCAGCAGAAAGAGAAAAGGTGTGTAATATCTCATCTGATGAGCACCTGCAGCCCTTTAAGGACAAAATGGATGATTTTCTAACTAAAGGTAAAAGAAAGAGAAAAAGCCCAGATATATATATATAAACTAGAGTTCATATAAATATATATATATACTGTATATATATATATATATATATATATATATATATATATATATATATATATACACACAAACACATACATACATATTTTATTTTAATTTGTTTTTCCTTTTTTTATTGCTGAAAGGTTATCATTTACGGATGTTCCTCTGATATTTTTTTGACATTAGGAAAATTGGTCCCACTTTATATTAAGTGGCCTTAACTAATATGTACTTACAAAGGAATTAATAGTTTGCTACAAAGTACTTATTGTGTAAATACATGTATTTACTGTGTACTTATGCTTGATTAAATACATGTATCTAATTACATCTGTAATTAACCTTTGTAATTACATTTTTAAATACACTATTGACCATCCCTTACACCTTAACCTACCCTTATACCTACCCATGCCACCAAACCTGTCCATAACCCAACCTCTATTCCAACTCAAAAGCCCCACAAGTGTTCTCAAATACATTATAAACACAGTAAGTACATTGTATGTATTTTTTATGTAAGTACATAGTAGTTAGGGACACTTAATATAAAGTGGGACCGGAAAATTTCTCCCTGTGGCATATTATGGCTTTTAAAAAAAATAGATAGAAGAAGAATATTAGCAGCACTCAGATATTAGCAACATACACTCTCTGGCCACTGGTACACCTTACTAGTAGCGGGGTGGACCCCCTTTTGCCTTCGGAACTGCCTCAATCCTTCGTGGCATAGATTCAACAAGGTACTGGAAATATTCCTCAGAGATTTTGGTCCATATTGACATGAGAGCATCACATAGTTGCTGCAGATTTGTTGGCTGCACATCCATGGTGCGAATGTACCGTTCCACCACATCCCAAAAATGCTCTACTGGATTGATATCTGGTGACTGTGGAGGCCATTTGAGGACAGTAAACTCATCGTCATGTTCAACAAACCAGTCTGAGATGATTTGCACTTTATGACATGGCACGTTATCCTGCTGGAAGTAGCCAACAGAAGATGGGAACTCTGTGGTCATAAATGGATGGACATGGTCAGCAACAATACTCAGGTTAGCTAACGGGCCCAAAGTGTGCCAGGAACATATCCCACGCACCATTAGACCACCATTACCAGCCTGAACCGTTGATACAAGGCAGGATAGATCCATGCTTTCATGTTGTTGATGCCAAATTCTGACCCTACCATCTGAATGTCACAGCAGAAATCAATACTCATTAGACTCTTCTATTGTCTAATTTTGGTGAGCCTGTGCGAATTGTAGCCCCAGTTTCCTGTTCTTAGCTGACTGGAGTGGCACCTGCTGTGGTCTTCTGCTGCTGTAGCCCATCTGCCTCAAGTTTAGACGTGTTGTGCATTTAGAGATGCTCTTCTGCATACCTCGGTTGTATCAAGTGGTTATCAGCAGTTTCTGGAATGCCAACAACCATGCCACATTCAATGTCACTTAAATCACCTTTCTTCCCCATTCTGATGCTTGGCTTGAACTGCAGCAGATCGTCTTGACCATGTCTACATGCCTAAATGCATTGCGTTGCTGCCCTGTGATTGGCTGATTAGAAATTTTTGTAAACTAGCAGTTGAACAGGGGTACCTATTAAACTGTACTTAATAAAGGGGCTGGTAAGTCTAATTCTTTATTTTGTTTAATAATCAGAAAACAGAGCACTATTAAAATCCAAAGTTCTCTTTTTTAGCTTTTAAATTGCTTTTATTTTTCATGCCAATGTATTTTCCAGCATAACCACCTAATAATTCTAAAAGGAATAATTATTTTCAAATATAGCTTTATTCAGGCCAAATAAATAAAACGACATCACCCCTTCATCCCAACATGTTTTAATAAAGTGGAGCCATCCAAGTGTTCCTTTACATGCATCACATTGGGAATTAATTAAAGTCTGACTAATTTGGGATGGATGTACAGGGACCCTGTGTGAGATGAGAGATGAGGTGCTGAGAAATAAATGTGACAGAGCCCACAATGATTCTGGGAAATACATCCAACCTGACCTGGTCTCGATCGCTTTACATTATTTGTATAAAGCTAGCGACATGAAAAGTGAGAGTCCTTAATTCCATTACTTTCACTAATTTTACCTACGCTCCACCCCGGCGCGTTAATCGAATTTCAGTGTTTTCTTTCTCTGATGAAGTGGAGCTGAACGATCCGGTGATTGTCTTTTCTTATAGCTGCTCTCAATCTTGTTTATTTGCCTTCTCTGTTCTCCATCTCTGCTTCGATCCATCTCTGTTTGATACGGTTTCTGTCCTCTTGTTTATTTCCTCTAAATGTGTCTGACTCAACTGGCCTGATCTGTCTGTGGCACTGAAGACTGTTCCTGTCAGCACTTTATTTTCCTCCACATTTCGCTGGCCTCTTTTCGTCTTTCGCACTCCAATCATCTTCAGTCGCCATGCCGTAACCTCCTTTTTCCATCGCTCAACTTGGAGCGTCTCTGCATAGCTGTCTCTCTATTTTTCATTCTCTGCTTCACGACAGGCTTTAGCGAATGCTGAATGTGTTGCTGTCTCTCTTTCTTTGTATTCAAATTGGTCTCGGTAACAAAAGCCACATGTGCTATGGCGGCAGGGGCAGCAGGGTGGGGTCTTCACTGAACGTCTCTACTGCTTTGATCTAGAGACTCGTGGGTCTCCTTCATGAGCTCTTAGATGGGTGACATGACCACGGAAAGACCCCCTTCAACACTGCCTGCAGTTAGAGAATGGAGATTGGAGAAAAAAAAGACCCCAGCCTTATTTTGTGTTATTTGTATGATTTTGAAACTCCAGGAGAGTAACAGTCTCTGGCTCCAGCGCTTCAACCACTACTGTTTATTTTTCAGAGCATGAAATTAACTACAGAAAGGAGGAGAGGAGGAAAATGGAGTGAGGCGGGCGTGCGGATGTGTGTGAGAGAAGGTCTCTGTGCTGTTTGGTCTACGCTTGCTCTGCTGATATAATTCTTAATGCTGTGCCATTTACACTAGCCTGCATGGTCACTGAAAAGTAATGTGATAATCAGTTTACCATGGTAACAGGTACAGAAGATGGGGTAAACTCTAGAAGAGCTTCAGATGAGCCATTGTAGTGCAAACAGTACGGTGGCGAAACATTGGCACAATTGTAATGTCAGATGGTTAAACCAAGTAACCACCAAGATGTTCTTGTGGTTGTCAGAGTGTTGCTATGTGGTTGCTAGGGTATTCTGCCTGGTTGTTATGGCAGTATCATTTGGTTGCTATACGGCCTTTTTTTGGCCACTGAAGCCAAGCAGGGCTGAGTCTGGTCAGTAACTGGATGGGAGACCACATGGGAAAACTAGGTTGCTGTTGGAAGTGGTTTTAGTGAGGCCAGCAGGGGGCGCTTAACCTAAGGTTTGTGTGAGTCCTAATACCCCAATATAGTGAAGGGGACACTGTACTGTCAATGAGACAATGAGCGCCGTCTTTCGGAGGAGACTGTAAATCGAAGTGGACTGGCCACATGGAGAACTGGGAGATTTCTAAACATAGGGGTTTTCCAGTGGCCTGACGGTCAATTTGGCCTGCCGCCTGCAACGCTAACCCAATTCCCTCCTTCTTCACTTACCAATAGCACCCCCCAGCCCCTGTTTTTATACTAACTGATCGCCACCTCCTCACCCCCCGGTCACATCACCCTGCTCTACACTTACCAGTCTTCTCAGACAAACCCCACCTCCCCGACCTCATCGCTTACCAATCGCAGCACCATGCCCAGCACATCCCCACCACCCTCCCTTCATTTGCAAATCGCCAAATAAGTGGTGGGTTAAAGTTGGGTTATGCTTTTATCCTAATAAAATAACCCATCAGTTGTGTTTGTCAATTGTTTTTATTTCAAATTTGGGTTACTATAACCCAACATTTTTAGAATGCAGTGTTTTTATTAGTTGCTAAGGTGCTCTAGTTGGTTACTATGTGAATATCAATTGTTTCCTATAGGACTTTCTATTTTGTTGCTAGATGGCTTTATAGTTGCTATAGGCTGTTCTGGAAAGTTGCTAAGGGGCTACTAGGGATATATGTATGGTTGTGATAGCTTTGTATTGTGGTTGATAGGGTATTCTGGGTGGTTGCTAGAAAGTTACTAAGTGGTTAATAAGCCTTTCTTATTAGTTTTCAGGGTGTTGCTCTTTAGTTTTTAGCATGTTACGAGTTGGTTGAAAAATGGTTGTTAGGTTCTATAGACCCTTTTCTCATTTCCTGGTTTCTCAGTAGCGGAAGTCGTGATAGTTTTGAAAACTTAGAGCGCAGTGAATGGAAGAATACAAAAATAATTTTCTTTTACAATCTTATTTACTGAAACAATATAAGAAAAACTCCACGATGATGTTATAAAGATGTTCAGAAAAAGAAAAATAACATTTTGTGAGACTGATAGCAGCAGCCAGAGGAGAGAATAACGTCAAATTTACTCTCAGCCCATAGACGCTGCATTAAAAACACCTCAGATTATTGCTAATGTTTTTTTTTTTTTGTAATTTGAAGCAAAGGTGATATAATACATTCGTAAACATATAAATGTTCACGCATTTAAAAAAATCTAAATATTAAAAACTTTCAAGGATTTAAGATGCTGATGACCATAACAGGGTTGTGAAGAGTCCAATAAGTGCTGTCAGGTTGTTGTGTGAACTCTAGGGTGTTCTGAGTGGTTTCTAGCTGGTTGTCAAGTAAATGACAGTGATTTCCTTGTGGTTGCCAGGATTTTGTCATGTGGTTTCTATGGTGCTCTTGGTTATTGTGTTGTAGTTTATACAGGTTTGCCCCAAATCACGTTTATGCACTTTTCTATGACCTGTTATAGTATGAATATTCTAAGCGTTGCATTCACAGCAAACATCTAAAAAGAATAAGTGCACTTTAAACAGTACACAGATAAACCAATAAAATCAAGTGTGGAATGGAATGTTGAACACATCATACATTCAAAGGTTGTAGCTTTGCTAGTGGAAGAGGAAAACCTACTGTTGAATAAGGTGGGATTGCATCTGGGATGACACTTAACTACACTACTGGGGAAATTTGTCATTTGGGCTAATTACTTTATGACAATGTTAGAGGATTGCAAACATTTTGCTCTGTGGTTACTCTAGGGTGTTCTGAATGGTTTTTAGTAGGTTGCCAGGTGATTGATAAGAAATTCTTTGTGGTTTTCCAGGTGTTGCTTTGTGGTTTCTTGGGTGTTCTCAGTTGACTGCAAGGTAGTTTTTGAGGAATGGCCCAAACTTGTGGGATTTTCCATGTTTAGAAAATCTCGATGCTCAGACCAGTTTGTTATTTAAATTTTGATTAGAATGGGGTCTATATCAGTGGTTTTCAGGCTTTTTATCAATTCTGACCAATCAACGCTTGTCAATTTTACCGCCAATGGGGGTTGTAGGGGTTGTGCGGGGAGGAAGTTGCTAGACCATCAGTAAAAGACAAAACATTGTTGTCTCTCTAATTCAAATTTAATTTATGGAAAAATTGACAAAGCACTGCAGTGTTTGGGTGTTCAGTGGTTGTCTGAGATAATTAGTCTTATTGAAATTTGTATATTTCATACAAGCTGAAGCTGATCAGTCAATTCTTGTCACGTGATTTGCGGGATTCATTCAGCTGGGTGCATCTGGTCTGGAAGGTGCGAGTGCATCATGATGCTTGTGTGTGCAAACTGCGCCCCTTCATTGGAAATAAAGAACTTGTGCAAACTCAAAAAAAATGTGATATGCGAATGGCCACTAAAAGGCAGCCGTCATTAGCAATCTTCTTTCGTTGATCTTCTTGCACAGACATACTGAATTCACCTGATTTGTTGACAAATGGATTGGGGATCTATTCCATGGCAATTTGCGGATCCTTCACTGGGCATTTTCCCCTTAGCAAAGAAACTTTCCAAAGTCGCTTGTTTCTTACTCATTTTGCTGCTTGTGGGTAAAATTTGGGCACTCAAGTGACCGAGATGTAACCGAGAAAATATGTTCATTTTTCAAAATAAAAGATTTTTCGAAATAAAAGATAGTTCAGCCACGGATAATAAAAAAACTGAAATTATTAATGATTTCTTGTGCGGCCCGGTACCAGTTGGGTTAAGGACCACTGGTCTATATTGAAACAGTTAATAAACTTCAAACTAACAAATGTCAGTTTTTAAATGTCCTCATGTACCTGCCTCCATCACATAATTTCACATCTTTCCTCATGAAGTCAATTTGATGTTCATAGCACAAATGATGATGTTGGAGCCACACATCAAATTGCAATATGCTCAATGGCTCAAACACTTGAGTATGAGCTGTAATGGTAGCAATCACCGCTACCAATCATGATTTTCTAGAAAAACAAATGTATTGAGCAATGTTTTAAATCAGTTTAATGAGCTGTAGATCTCATGTTGGGGCCAGAGGAGGTGGGAACTGAAGTGATCTGTGTTTTGGGGATTCTCTGATTGCACAGAATTGTGGTTGCTGAGTGGTATGAAAAAGTGTAAGAACACTGGGCTCGTCATTCAATTTATTAGTGAATCACAGGAGACTCTCCGAGCAGCAGTAAATGAAGTGACACTGACATTACTGCGGTAATGACTTCAGAGACCTGCTTCTCGTTCTGCAGTCCAACTACAGTATGCCTCATCAAATGTTCACAAGGAGAATATTCACAAATATGATTCACAATGATCTCCTCTTTGATATTTCATGTCAGCGGATTACAGCGGGCTTACAGTCAGATTTCGAAGGGCTCATGTTTATCGTAAAAAATCATAACCTGAAAAGACCTGCGGTTTGTTTAAAACTGGGACAAATCTTTGATAGCATTTTTACGATAGCATGTTTCATTGGATGACAAGCAGTACATATACATATTTTAAAAGTATAAAACAACAGACGGTGTCACATTTACAATGTTTCTGTCCTTTTTCCCCCACAGCCAAAACAGAGCTGGAGCTCCAGGAAAAACAGCTCACTGACACGCAGAGGATGTAAGTATTCTTGCTGTTGTAATTGAGCCAGTTCTCTTGTTGACTTATTATTACTGCATCATATTGGTCATGTTTTCTCTGAGTGTGTCCGTCTCTCCTTCACTCTCTTTACTATGTATTTCCATCACTCCTGCTACTAATAGAGCGATTCACTCATATTGATTGACACTTAGAAAGTAGAAAGTAGATTGTCTCTTTTCAAAATTTTGGCTCTCGGAGTGGAATAAAAGCAAATATTACATGTCAATTAATTTGAAAGTTCTCTGTGTTCATCGTCTGACTGTCGCAGTTTCTTCAAATGCATACCAAAAGATTGCTGTGGGCGAAAAAGAAATTACACTTGTCGTTCTTTGTGTAAGAGCATTATTTTTACAAGCTAAAATTTCACATTTCACATGCTTGAAGCAAGCCGATCAATTTCACAATTCCTCAGTGTAAACTTTCTAATCTTATTTAGTAATATTTTGTTCATAGTGTCATGCTTTTCTCTGAATGCTCTCCAGTTTTCTGGAGCTGAGCGTGTTTTTCTCGGTCAAGCCTAAGGCGGGAGAGAAAGAGGTTTCACCGAACACATTCTTCACAGTGTGGCATGAGTTTTCATCAGATTTCAAGGAGCTGTGGAAGAGAGAGAATAAAAGCCTCCTGCAGGAGCGGTGAGGATTAATTTTCTTCTTGTTACCATTTTGTTTGTTTTATTGTCTTCAATTCATCTTTATTTTTTATAGCGCTTTTAGAATGTATGTTTTGTCAAAGCAGCTTCACATAGAAGTTCTAGTAAATTGAAACTGTGTCATTCCAGATTTCAGAGTTTAAGTTTAATTTAGTTCAGTTCAGTGGGGTTTAAATTTCACTGCTGAAAGTCCAAACACTGAAGAGCAAATCCATTGATGCTCAGCTTCACAAGTCCCAAACCAAGAAAGCCAGTGGGTCATTTTTTTTTTCTTTGTAAAACTTACAGGTTGAAAGCTGCAGAAGAGACTTTCAAACAAGCACGAGAGAAGGCTACCTACAACGTTAAACCTAAACAAGCATCAGGAATCGTAGGTTTTACTAACATTACAAACAAAAGCAAATTTCTTTTTAATGTCATTCACATTATAAGCTATGAACAACTCGTAAACTCTTGTTTATGCATGATGTTTTGTGGTTTTTCCCTCTCACAGAAAGCTAAGCTGGGCCAGAAGATGTGAAATTCTGCTGTACCGAATCACTCAAGACTTGTTTATGTGTCTGTTTGTTCTTTCTTTTTTTAAATAATAAGTTACTTCAGCGTAAACTTAATAGCCGTGAAATTAAATGTTTAATGTTATTGTATGATTGGAATACATTTGTCATTTCTGTATTTTTTAATAATGACAATCCAAGCTTGAAGTGCCCATAAAGTTCAGAAACTTTACCTGTTTGGTAACACTTTATTTCAAGGGGCATTGATAAGACTGACGTGACACCTTTATAATTATCACATCTATATAACACAAGTATGGAGTTTTTATGCAAGCTTATGACAATTGTAATTAGGTGTCATTAGTTAGGTTAGGTGTTTTTAAATGCAAAGATGACATTGTTTAAGATGTCTTTGTTATGACAACTTGACATTATCAAGACAACATGTCAAAAATCTGTCATAAACATGATTGCCATGAGGTCCTTATAATCATTCATTCATCCATTTTCTTTTTAGCTTAGTCCCTTTGTTAATCAAGGTGGATTGAAGTGCCAATCCAGCATTTGTTTTACACAGCAGATGCTTTTCCAGCTGCAACCCTTCAGTAGGAAACACCCATACACTCTTGCATTCGTTCTCATACACTACGGCCAATTTAGCTAATTTAATTCACCTAAAACACATGTCTTTTGACTGTAGGGGGCTCGAACCAGCGACCTTCTTGCTGTGAGGCGACTGTGCTACCCACTGAGCCACTATGTCACCTGTCTTATAATCTGTCATGCATATTTTCTCATCACTTTTTCAGTGGAACATTGAAATTTGTCATTAAAATTGTGAATACTCCATCAAATAAATAAAATAAGTAAATATGTAACAGCGTACTGTAGTTGAGGCCAAAAAAGATATGAATAGTCCTGTTATACAATTGATGATGCAGTTATAATGGCCTCATAACACACACAAATACATTACAACCTGTCTTTGTAATTTTCAAGTTGTCTTAACAAAGACATCTTATACAATGCATTTAAAAAGACCTAACTTAGCTAATGACACATAATAATAGTTGTCATAGACATGAAAAAACCTCCTTCATATTTATGATGTCATGTTGAGAATATAACAGTTTCATGAGAGTCGTATGAACCCCTTCAAGTAAAGCATTACTCCTTTTTAGGTCATAAAAATTACTGCAACATCTATTTAATCCTCTGGCAGAAGTGCTGTTCTGAAAAACATGCTCTGATTGGTTAACTACTTGCAGCCCTGTCAGAAATAAAAACAAGCCTCTACCATTACTCAAAAAAAGTAATGCCCCTTACCATATACTGCATGTCTATAAAAAAACATGTGTGTATGCCTATCAAGAGGGTATGAAATAAGGACAAGTCTAAATATTGTTTTGACCTTAATATAACTTGACAGTATTGTGACACATAAAGATGTATACATACATCTCTTTTGCCTTTGTTATGGCAAGAAAAGTATATTGACAGGAAGTGAAATTGGGGGGGTTTGCGTGTAGGGATTCAAACTCGGGACCCCCACAGTGCAGTTGTCCTCTATGTGATCGCAGTGTCTGCTAGGCTATCGGGTCTTAAAATTACCTGATCCTGAAATATGTTGTATGGTTAGTACTGTCGCCTCACAGACAGAAGATTGCTGGTTTGAGTCCCGGAATTTCTGTATGGAGTTTGTATATTGTCCCCATGTTAGCATGGGTTTCCTCGGGGTGCTCCGGTTTCCCTCATATTTCAAAAACATGCACTATACAGTAAGTAAACTGGAAGAACTAAATTGGCCGTGGTGTTTTATTGCGTGTGTGAATGCGAGAGTATATTGGTGTGTCCCAGTACTAGGTTGCGGCTGAAAGGGCATCCGCTCTGTAAAACAAATGCTGGAATAGTTGGCGGTTCATTTCGTTGTGGCGACCCCTGATAAATAAGTGACTAAGCCAAAGGTAAATGAATAAATGACAGGTTATCTGATCTGAAGAAAAATAAATTATTTTGGGGTTAGTTGTTTGGGAAGGTTTTTCTTTAAATTCATTCAAACATTGGCTGGGTCTGAAACTGCATACTTCTATACTACATAGAACGCTAAAATCAGTATGCGAGCCGAGTGGTATGTCCGAATTCATAGAATACGAAAATCAGTATACTTCCAGCGAGATTCTGGAGTGCACATCCCATGCATGCTGCGCTATCCCATGATGCCCCGCGAGCGAATTCATGAATGGGAGTAAAGCGACGCAACTGATGCAGGAAGGTCATGTGACCATGACAAAATGACGGATGTAGTACGTCCGAATTCTATTCATACTTTTCACATTCGTACTGTATAGAACTTACTTTTTTAATGGTTGGGTACGACGTTTAAATTCAAATGCAGTACCTACTGATTAGTAGGCAGTTTCGAACGCAGCCATTCATTTTCCTCTGGCTTAGTCTCGTTATTCATCAGGGGACACCACAGCGGAATGAACCGCCAACTTATCCAAAGAAAAACTCTCCTGAATGTGTAACTGGCATCACAACTGACAGGCAGTCTCCTCTATGTAACAAAATCAATAATCCAATTATTTTTGGCAGAAATTACACAACCAACCCAGGCTCATTCTGAAAACGTCGTCCCGTGGACGTTTTTGGAGACCGCGAAATACGTCCCGGGAAGTACGTATTTTTGCAGTTTTTGTTTTCACGAATCCGCAAGAGGCCGCTGTGTACGCTTTTTCGCGTCTTGAACGTCTCTTGCGAGTGCCGTTCGTGCCCGCGCTGTTCTTGCCAGATGCAGCTGTCAAAACGACCTTACGCCTGTCTGTCTGAATGACAAAATGATTGACGGTGCGACTGGCCAATCGGCTGACCCACCCTCCTCCTTCCCTAAACCCAACCAACGACAATTCACAAAAGCTGTCCAGAAAAAGAAAAGCACGTCTGATATTTACCACGTTTTTGGATTTTACCACATTTTCACCCTGTTATGAACTTGTTTGCTTTATTTTTTGGATTATTTTTTTTTGTTTTCTTACCTGATTTCTGGAACCGCTCTTCCACGGACTAGAACCCGGTCGTCATCGTCGTGGTCAGCCCCTCTCTGCACCTTCAGTCCGTCGACATACAAGGCAAGCTAACCGGACAAACTGGTTGCGGTGGGAAAGCCCTCCACATGGAGGTGAGCGAATGGAACAGCGTCACACCGCTCCGCAGCGTTCGCTTAAAAAAAATTAAATGCAGCCATACGTACCTCCGACCACATATTTTGCGGTCTCCAGAAACGTTCACGGGACTACATTTTCAGAATGAGCCTGGGTTGTTTTGCTGGAGGGATGAATTCCCTTTAAAATTAAAAATATAATTTATTTTCAGTTTTACAAATGCACTTTTTAAATATCTAATATAGTCAATAGCCGGCCCACAGAATATATAAACATGCACATTTATTTTTATATTTTCTGTAGTGAAGGATGTCATGTGTATTTACATGGTGTAAAATACCCTATTTTTAGGTGAAACGATAAAAGCCATAATATTTATCAATAAAAAAAGAGCAAATAAAAAAATCTGCCTTTGAACATTTATGCTTACCTGGCGGTCACTGCAATTTAAGAAGAACTGAATGCAAAAACTAATAACGAAAAAGAAACAAATGGCAATATCCAGATATAATATTTGTGTGTTTTGGTGGCTCATATAGAGGGGGCAAAAAATATACTGTAAATATAATAAAAACGTTACACCTAAACTATTATTTAAATAAATTTACACTTTTATCTATACTTTCATTTCCTCCACAGGTGTTTATCTACTTCAGGCCATGAAATTTACAGAGCACTGAGTCATATATTGTGAGATTCTGTTACAACAGAACTGTTTAATGAACAGTTGCTGAGAAACAAATTCAAATGTTTTGCCATTTTTCATTTTGTGTTGCTTCTTATTGCAAACTGATATTTTCTTATTATATTATTCTACTTTTTAAATATAGCCATGAACACATTTGCCAGCAAGCATTTTTCTTTCTGTTTAAAATATTTCTTAAAGACGTCTAAGCATTGCTTAAGTTATATAAGGAATGAATGACTACGCATGTCCCAATCCCAATTCTACCCCGTATCCCCTTAGCCCTTCCACTCACCCCTACTCCTCATTTTGCGCACTCAAGTGAAGGGGTTGGGGTGTTCCAATTCTCTTTAGCTTGAAGGCGTAGGGCTAAGGGGAAGGGGTAGATACCCCTTCAAACAGATATTTTTCAGAACCACAGTCAAAACCAAGGGGTAAGAAAATTTCCTGCAGCATGGATGCACACGGAAGTAAGAGGATGCACAAATTTGTATTTTTTGTCATTATTATGGGTTTTTCTGACACATAAGCATGTTTTTATACACTCATAACAGCCTTCATGTTTTACCGTCATGCTTTAAAAAAAAAAAAACAATAAAAAATGTGTAAATATTTGCTATCTATAATCCCTATAATAATAATAACTCCCGTATAGCAGTCCAACAACATTCTTTAACATCTGTCACTCGATAACACTCAAATACCCTGTCAGAAACATCTGGTGGCTGGGACTGACCTTTTTACAATGTCTGCTATAATGTAAATGTTGTTTTTTGTGTGTTTACATCGATGAATATGGCCGGGGTGTAAATGCACAGTACAGTTACGAGCTTATTGCCACATTATATCATTATGATTACATAATATATGCCATCAGTGATTTCCTGAAGATCAATAGCAAAAATAATGCAACTGGAATAACTTCAGCAGTTGCCATCATCTATCTCATATGAAGCAAGAGCTCACGATGACAAGTGCAGGTGCTGTAGTGCTGTCCCTTTTTTTTAAGCCGCCTTTCCACTGCACACGACAAGCGACAGACCAAAAGTCATTCATTTCCAATGAAGAGTGTAGTCCAGGAGCTGCGTGGAGCTCCGATCAACTCCTTATCTGGAATTTTCGGATCCGATTTGAGCTACGGATCTGTCAAAATATTTGAACTCCTGCGACTAGATCGTATATATATGACCAGCCTACCAGATGTGATGTATTTCAGTGTTGTCCAATCAGGTTCATGCACATGAGATGAGAAATAGGAGTTTTTCATTATTTTTTGAATCAGAAAAAAAAGTTTACAAATTCTATTATAAATATTTTGTTAAATTCTATTCATAAATGTGTAATACAAATATTGTTATTTTTTATCTTGTCTCCACATTTCCAAAATTGTTTTCAGTCTGTGGTGAGTTTCTAGTATTCATTCATTCATTTAACCATGGTGCATGCACAGAGAATAAAGGCTCTTGCTTTTGCACTTCTTTATTTCAGACACCACTGCGAGAATCCGCTTCCCATGGTGCACGACAAAACTGAATATTCTGTGCGACTGCCAC